GAGAGAGGAGGGAGAGGGAGAGAGATAAGTGCATTCAGATTCCGAGAAATGGTTGAGTAAATGTAGAAGGAATGATTTCTCTTTTGTTTTTAAATCTTTTCTGATAATGAACTTACATTAAAAGGTTAAATAATGCAAGTCACAGCTGAAATTTATGGGAAGCTAATGAAACAACGACTGGAATATTGTAAGCAAAAGTAACAGGTAAAACTATTACCGAATCTTAACGGAAATGTGGATGCATGTCGTATGTAATATAGCACGCGAAATCTCTGAAAAGACTAATGATGGCAGGGTAGAATCGTATTTCGTTTAGTTGACCTCAATCTCAGGCGCAGAATGTTTTCCCATTCCATGATATAGGTGTTATTAGGTGTTATTACCTTGATACTAACTTTCTACCAATTAACTATCATAACTTTTTGTAGTTATTTAATAATTCATTGAAATAAAATTAATTGTCAAACCATGCCAACCTCTGATCAACCATTTTCCAGAGCCCTCAAGCATGTAATTTCAAAATGTTGGAATTGCTGAATTAAATAGAATATTTTTGTTGGTTTTAAACGAGTTAGTAGCTGATTCCGAGTGATTGAAAGATACCAATTCAGCAGTCAGAATTTTTATTTAATACCTTATTACTGTATTATCAATTTATTATCACTTGTTGGAAATTGTTAATGGAACAATAAATGTCTCAGCACGAGAACATCTTGTTCAGCCTGGGAGAAAGAGAACCTTTAAAATTGAAGTTAAAAAGATTTTATGTCCCAACATAAACAAGATTTTCATGTGTTGAAAATTTAAAAACTGTACCGATAATTCTCGAATCCTTTTGAATTGTTGAACAGGGAAAATTGATAACAAATTTAGTTCCGAAAATTTGTTTCAAAATAATTTCCACAAATTCAAGTTATTTCAAAATTAAGAGATTGTTTATCTTTTTGGAATTTTTACACAATATCGGCAGAATAACGGTTGACATTAACAAAGCATATCACGTTTTTTTTCTTTTCTTTTGATTCATATTTTACATGAAACACCTGGAAATCACGTATCACTCAATGCTCCGCAAAGCCAATGACGAGGTAAGAAAAAATCGAGAATGAAATTGTGGAAATATGGATCACACCGCTGTCTAGCATACCATTCCTGACTATACAAGGATACGAATATTCCGGTACCAATTAACAGATTAGTGTGCATCGCTATATTCCACACACTTTTGGAAGTGATAAACTGTGATAGATAATAGAAAATTCCTGCAAGCTGATTAGATTGATCCAGTTTTCCTTCGTGATGAAATGAAGAAATCTCTTCACATTCACAATCAATGATACCAATTAGAATACTTTCCTTGAAACTTTCAAATTGTCTCCCTAATAATTCTTTTTCCAGAAGATTATGAAGCGAAAAGAGTAACTTGTTTTGAATTTCCCTGGTTTTTCAAGCTAATATCCCTGTCCTTCTTCTGAAACAAGACAGGGCAACAAGATTTTTCATTTCTTAAATTCTGAAAAATATAGGTCACCTCCAAAAACGAAATACAAGGTGAATATGATGGGATAGAACATTCTCAAAGCCAATCCAAACCAGTACTCGTGGAATAAAGATGAACAGAAAAATACCATTGTTTGAGCAGCAAAACGTCCTTTCTTTCCTCCAATCAGCTGTAAAATGAACCTGTTAAAATTTTAAATTTAAAAGTAGTTACATATAATTATTTCTCTATTTCTGCGTCATGCAATTACTGAATTGTCCACTCTACAAAATTCATCTTTCGTTTCTTCATTTCTAAATTGTAAATACCTGTGAAATATCTCTGTAAATATAAGCATAAAGCCATTCGTGTACTACCAAATTCCAAAAGCGATAATATTCAGCCATTGATTTCGAACTCCACCAATTCCAAAATGATGCATTAGGAATAGATATTATGTTTATTTAAAAACTGGTCAAGAATGAGGAATGTTGTGTAGTCAATTTTATAAAGTTTATTTAGTTTCTTGATTATGCAACCCTAATACTTAATAACAAATTAGCTAATTATTTCTAAGGACTGATAAAAGATTTGATTTTGGTAAATCGATAAGGATGTAATGAATTTGCGAAGAATTCATTACCAGATAAAATTGTCGATCTGAATAGCGTAACAGTTCTGCAAACATATTTAACCAGCAGTGTAGTAGACCGTAGAAGAGCAATAGTAGGCACAGTGCTCCAGCTATTATCGAAGTGAACATGTTACTTACCATTGTTGAAAAACGGACTGTCGTCAGGTCCTCCTTCTCAAATCGAGGTATTATCATCTGAAATTCAAAATTTTCCAATAGATATCCCAGGAATGCATCTTGAAAAAGGATCGTTATAATCGATCGATAAATAGGGAAGTTAAAAGGGTAAAACTTACTTGTATGAAAACAAGATTCACGCAATAAATTATAACGATAATTTCCTGTGCGTAATTCTTTACAGACTGCCAATTGCAAATGGAATTTCTAAATTAATTGGTTGAAAATCAAAATGTTTCTTACAATCTATTAATTGAGGAAATAGATGATAACAAAAAGATAAACCTGGGATAAAACTGACGAAAGACCAGCGAGGGGCAGAAGAAGAAGTAAATGTATTGCTCAAGCGTTGGAAATTTCTCAGGAATGTCACCATACTGATCAGGAAATCAGAAAATTACGTGGACATAATTATCTTTTTTATAGTCAAACAATAATGAATGAAGAATGTTGAGATACATCCGGTAAGCCTTTCAAATTAAAAAGTAATTTCAAATTCAAATTAAAAAAAATTTTTTGTATAGATTGAGTAATTTTCGAAAACTATAAAAATCTACGTCACCTATTCCTGACAAATATCTTTATCCTGACAAATATCGGTCGAGTATTATACCTAGAAATAATTATTGAGATTCCAAATGAATTTTAAATTTGTTAAAAGTCAAGTAAGATTTAACTGACAATAATACCTTGAGATCATCAGTTTTACCAGCTTCAATTTTCAAACGAACTGCCAGTGAGTATACTTCACGCAAGAAAGAATGGACTTTCATGGAAATACGTGTCTGAAATCAAATTTTAATTTTAGCTACTTTTATCAAATTTTCAGCCAATTCTTCCGATGGAAAATGATTCTCTTACATATTGCTATGTGAACAGTGACAAAGGACGTGAGATAACATTTAATGATATCATGAAGCTTATCCACCTTTCATGAATTACTTCTGATCTTATCTATACTGATATCAGATCAATTCTTACACTTTCACAAGCCACAATAAAGGTGCAGGCGCATTCGAGTTGCATCGTTAACGTGAACCGAAAACAGCAATAAAATAATCCAAACAGATATATAACATACAGTGAAAGTAAAATGATGAAGTCTTTCAATGGTTCCTGAAGTATTTCTTATTGATAAGGAATAGAAGAAATATGTTATCAAAAGGCATCCTTACTTGAATATGGAGTTATCCATAGATTTTCGATCTCAGAGTTGATTTTTTCTTGTTACATTCATTTAAATCATGGCAATATTCTTTTTAAGGGGCGGTATAATCGCAGTTTCCTATTATAAGCAGTAACTTACCACTTTGCACGGTACTTTACTCCAAAATCGCAAGCTATAATAAACGAATAGCGTACTTCCCGCTAATAAACTCCAGAATATTAAAGTTATCGGTAATTTGTTGAAATTCCATTTTATCAGCCATAAATGGTGCACTGGACTGGAAGTAAGATGATTTTTGTGGCTCTCTAATCAACACTGGCGTCTTCGTAAATTGATAATTGATTTTATAAGAAACAACATCCGATATGACGCTTTGTTCTTGTTGTATTCCAGAACAACTCGTGGATAATCACGTGTTCACGTAAAGCAATAAATTGAAACGTGCATGTAAGTTCTGATCGATGATGAGTTCCATAGCAACTTACTTCCCGTAATATACGCTGTCTTCAAATACTGTTTTCAAGAATAGCAGGAAAAACGCGGCACAGAAGAAATTCTTCAAACCTGACAAGTCTGTTTGCATCAGAAGTGTTCTAAAAATTTGAATTGAAAAGTAAATTTACTTTGTTTCGAAAACGAATGGATAATTTATACTTTAATCGTTGAATAAGTCGGAAACAAGTAATAAAACTTTTGGCGGAGATCAAGACAAAATCCGTATATTAATTCAAAGTTGACTGATTTATTTCCGAAAAAATTATTCTAATAAAAGTTTTACGTCAGCAAGGATGGACGTCCTTGAAATTCTTTCATTCTGAACTGTTTATTTATTTGCTTTTCCATCCCAATTGACATCTATCTCTTCGTAAGCTTTTCTGAAGCTACAAGCAACATTGCAGTGAAAAATGAACTTTTAAAACTATACAAAATGAAAAACAACAAGCACTGAATTACAAAAGTGATAAATAGTAATTCAAGTTTGCATGAAAACATCTCGTAGAATTCCCTGTGGTGATATGCGACACTGAGGATATTAAATAGGTCAAATAGGGCACAGAGCGCGATCGTCCTCTATTTTGCATTTGTTGAGCAACGATGCGAAGTAAGGTTGATTCATGCATGGTCCATTATCATCCAATGAAGAACCATTTAATCTTTGAACATGAAACTTACTTCTGTGTCATAAATTATTCAAAAGATTTAATAATTATAGATTCTAAAAATTTAATAATTGCTTTACATCAGTAATTGCTTTACAATGTCAGACAAAACAAACCTTTGCGCCTGGTTTTACTGAAAGATACATGCAGGTACTTCCAAATTATAATGCAATGTCAACGGGTCATCAAGAGTGTTACTGAAAGATATACTAACTTCGAGATATGCTAAATTCTCTATAACTTAAAAGCCTTTAGTACCAATTAGTTACTCAATGCAAGTAATTTTAAGTGTCCAATTAAAGTCACTTTGTTAATTTTCACAGCAAAATCGTTTGCAATAGTAGTCATTCACGGTCGTCTATTCGTTTGGCGAAATACCTTCGCATTTGGCCATTCAGTCTTTGCCAAACAATTCAATATGCCCATATTTCACTGATTCTTTTTGACTTCTCGTTAACTTAATGTAGAAATTGGCTTTTCTAAAAGGAATTAAAAATGGTATAAAATGCAAATAAAAAGAGGTGAAGTTCACAGGAGTACATGCAAATAATGCGAATGAAATTGTTTGACAAATTTTTTAAAAGAATTGTTTAATGAGTTGTCATTAAGTTCTTTAATATTGAGGCTGCAAAGGCGGCTGTAACCATTTGCAATTCTAATTATTTTCTGCACACTGCGGTAGTTTCTTCAGTTTTCATAGGGAATATTTCAAAGGATGATTTATTTATAAATGATCGCAATCATCTTTAACTAAACAAATTTTCATCTTATCTATCCACAAAGAAACAGCTAATCCTCAAAGATCTAAACTCTGATGTTTTGTATTCCAGTCTGTAGGGAACAAATCGGAATATGGAATCAACACTTCCAGTATCAATTATCATCAAAATTGCATCTATTTGCTTGCAAATTTGCGCCTTTACTGGAATAACTGTACTGCTGATCACAACATGCTGTAAAAAAGGATCAGCTGAAGAAAGCGAGACGGATGTAAGAGGATCAAATCTTTCCAGTTTCTACAGACCACTTCTAATGTATACATCCAAAGCGCACTTGTGCAAAGCGGTGCAAACTTTCCATATAATTGAACAATCTGCCCCTGAAGTAGTAATTCCGTGACATATGTTACAGCCGATGTGCAGATTATTGCATTGCATATTAATGCTGATTGTAGCACTTATTTATGGGCTTATCTCCACAAATTTAAAATACATTTAGCAGTAAAAAGCATGGAAAAAGTTTTATATAAGTAATTTTTTCATTTGTTGGTATTTCAAGTTTGTTTCTAAAGAAATTACTATTACATATCTTCCATTAGATGACAAATTTTGGTACCAAATCAAAATACGAGGTCAAGATACGAATGTAACTTACTCCCTTGAAAAATATAAAATATAAAAATATAATTTCAATTTATAGCGAAATTTAAAACCCAAAGTATCCAGAGAAATTATGAAATCGTCGGCACAAAGAAGAGCAATCGCGAAGATCAGAGAAGGTTAGCAAGACTAAAGACTATATGTTTTATCAGAATGAGCATAATTACGCCTCTTAAAAACATATTTCCAGGTCAAATGACTCCAGCAAGCGAAGGTGAGACGGTTGATGATGCAATAAGTAATTGGGGAAATGTGCAGAAAGTTGAAGGTGACCATATGGTATGTGCCTTTTGCTTGTTAGTTTGGTGTTAATACCTTCCTCATCACTCATATCTATTGAATGCTGGACTTATAATAATCAAAATTTCGAAATAATCCATTGCTTCAAAATATCTTAATGGGAAGTAATGGCAGTTAAAGGAAGCACCAAAATTATTTCATTTCAGGTGCGTCAAAAATTTCGCAGAAGAAAGTGAGAATGACGAATGATTTAGTGATAGTTTTGTTGCCATTTTCGACTTACTTTCTATATGTTGCATTTTCTCGAGTGACAATTTTTTACTGAAAAGGATTCATTTTCGCCATGTCTTTCATCTTGGCTACACTTCAATATTTGATCCTGTTTCAAAATCTAAACTTACTTTCTACCCAACTAAAACAAATTTTGAAGCTTTTTAAATATACCCAAAATACAACCAATCACTTGTTTGTTTTTTATATTTCGCCGTTATCATTATATCCTTTCATTGATATCTCGTGATATCTCCCTCCTACCCTTCTCTTCCTTGCTGGGAACTTTTCTTCTGAGGTCCACTATACTTCTCATTATAAGGATAATCGGGTTGAGGCTTGTCCCCTGTACTCCTTATTAGATTAATTCTTTGTATATGTGCTAACGACTGATCTTCGGGATGTTTAGATTTTATCGAATTATACTTTTACCTGGTGTTTCATTAAACTTCCCAGAGCAACTAGAAAATTTTGGCAAGCAAGTATTTTCATTGGTATAAGTGACAAATGTTCTAATCGTGAAAATCTAAATTAACTTAAGAAAACAAAGTAAATGGTTGTAACTTAGATGGTTCGTTTCGGTTAGTGTAAATATTCATTTTGTTATTTACATTTTGAACAAAATTTTGTTGTCGTGAAAGAAAATTAAAGCTAGTATCTACTGTTTTAGTTATTTTTAGCCAGTTTACCTGATATGTATAGACGTACGATAACTATCGGTAGCGCTGGAAAAGCATTTAGTGTAACAGGATGGAAATTAGGTTGGTCAATTGCACCAGCTGAACTTCTCGAACCATTAAGACGAGTCATTTTTATCCTTTTTTATTGACTTGTAGGTGTCAAGAAGACAGGTAAACTGTTCTTGTTCTCAAGGCTTCTTTCATGTGCTGGGTCCCTCAGTCACATTCATTTCATCCAGGCCTACTTTTACGTTTTCATCAACGGAGATCTCCCAAACTTGTTTTCAAGGCTATATGTAAAAAAGCCTGGAGACTTTTCATTGGCGGAACAGAAAAAATAAGCCTGGAACAATTTTTATAGGGAGAAACCTAAAATCTAAGTTTGGGACTATTAAGCATAGAACTTCCTCTACTTTCCTCTATCTGATCGTTAAAACAAAACAAAAGTATGTTGAATATTAATTCATTATTAATATTAAATTAATTAATTACAGATTATTAAGATTAACAATTGTAAATATAAACTAAAAATTTTAGAATTTTATCAATATTTTGATTATTTATATTTAAATAAATAATTACGTTTTT